CCGGAGCCGCCACCGGGGGGGGGGGGTCTGGTCTGGGACCCCCGCGAGGGGCGGGACTCGGTTTTGGGGGGGGGTCCCGGTTGATTTGGGGGGTCCCGAGACCCCCGGAAGGGGCGGGATCGCTCCCGGGGGGGGCCCGGGAATGGGACCCCCGGGGGGGGAGGGGCCCGGTTGATTTGGGGGGTCCCGGGGCTGGAATTTTGGGGAGGGGGAGGCGGGATCCGCCCCCCTTTGGGGGTCCCAGTTAGAGCCTGGTAATGGGACCAGTTAGTGCCTGGTACTGGGACCAGTTAGAGCCTGGTACTGGGACCAGTTAGTGCCTGGTACCGGGACCAGTTTGTACTCTGTACTGGGACCAGTTAGTGCCTTGTACTGGAACCAGTTTGTACTCTGTACTGGTCCCAGTTAGTGCCTTGTACTGGTGCCAGTTAGTGCCCGGTACTGGTGCCAGTTAGAGCCTGGTACTGGGACCAGTTTGTGCCCTGTACTGGGACCAGTTTGTAGTCTGTACTGGTCCCAGTTTGTGCCTGGTGCTGGTCCCAGTCCTATTCTGGTGCTGGTCCCAGTTAGCGACCGGTACTGGTCCCAGTTCTGGCCCCAGTTTGCGCCCTGTACTGGTCCCAGTTAACACCCTGTACTGGTTCCAGTTTGCACCCTGTACTGGTCCCAGTCAGAGTCTGGTGCTGGTCTCAGTCTGCACCCTATACTGGTCCCAGTTAGCGCCCTGTACTGGTCCCAGTTCCGGTCCCAGTTAGTGCCCTGTACTGGTCCCGGTTAGTGCCTGGTACTGGTCTGTACTGGTCCCAGTCAGAGTCCGGTGCTGGTCCCAGTCCCATTCTGGTGCTGGTCCCAGTTTGCACCCAGTACTGGTCCCAGTTCTGGTCCCAGTTAACATCCCGTACTGGTCCCAGTTTGCGCCCTGTGCTGGTCCCAGTTAGTGCCCTGTACTGGTCCCAGTTTGCACCTTGTACTTTCCCAGTTTGTACCGTGTACTGGTCCCAGTTTGTGCCCTGTACTGGTCCCAGTTTGCGCCCTGTACTGGTCCCAGTTTGTGCCCTGCGCTGGTCCCAGTTTGTGCCCTGCGCTGGTCCCAGTTAACACCCTGTACTGGTCCCAGTTTGTGCCCTGCACTGGTCTGTACTGGTCCCAGTTTGTGCCCAGTCCCACTCCGGCGCTGCTCCCAGTCCCGACCCGCCCATTGCCGCGCATCCCCGCCCCCTCATTTGCATGAATCTCCATGCATTTGCATGGCCCCGCCCCCGAGCTCCCCCGGCCGCGGCCCCCGGGCTCGGGGCCAGGAGCAGGAACGGGAACGGGAGCGGGGCACGGAACAGCGCGTCCCGGGCGCGGCACGTGCGCGGCCCCACGGCTCGGGAACACCGGGGAAACCGGGAAAAACCGGGAAAATCCGGGAAAAACCGGGAAAATCCGGGAAAAACCAGGAAAAATGGGGGAAATACCGCCAAAAAATGGGGGGAAAAACGGGGAAAATGGGAACGGGGCACGGGAACAGCGCGTCCCGGGCGCGGCACGTGCGCGGCCCCACGGCTCGGGAACACCGGGAAACCCGGGAAAAACCGGGAAAAACCGGGAAAAACCGGGAAAAACCGGGAAAATCCGGGAAAAATGGGGAAAAATGGGGAAAATCCGGGAAAAAATGGGGAAAATCCGGGGAAAAAACCGTGGAAAAATGGGGGAAAAACGGGAACGGGGCACGGAACAGCGCGTCCCGGGCGCGGCATGTGCGCGGCCCCATGGCAGGGAAACACCGGGAAAACCGGGAAAATCCGGGAAAACCGGGAAAAAATGGGGGGAAATGGGGGAAATGGGAAAAAAAAACGGGAAAAAATGGGAAAAAACCGGAGAAAAATGGGGAAAAAACAGGGAAAATGGGAGCAGGGAACGGGAACAGCGCGTCCCGGGCGCGGAAAAACACGGGAAAATGGGAAAAACCAGGAAAAACTGGGGAAAATGGGAAAAAAATGGGAAAAAATGTGAAAAATTGGGGAAAATGGGGGGAAAATGGGGGAAAAATGGGAATATGTGATGGTGGGAACAGAAGAGGTTGGGAAGACTTGGGAATTCATGGGGAAAACGGGAAATCCTGGGAAAATGGAGGGAAAGTGTGAAAAAATGGGGAGAAATTGGGGGGAAATTGGGGAAAAATGGGGGAAATTGGGGAAAAATGGGGGAAAATTGGGGTATGGGATGGTGAGAACAGACGGGAAATCATGGAAAAACATGGGAAAGTGGGAAATCCTGGAAAAACAGGGAGAAACGGTGAAAAAATGGGGAAAAAACGGTGAGAAAATGGAAAAAATGGGGGGAATTGGGGCAAAATGGGGGGAAATGGGGAGAAAATGGGGGAAATTAGGAAAAATGGCAAAAATGGGGTGGTGGGAACATGAACGGGAATGGCACCAGAAGGGAAATCATGGGAAATGGGAAATCTGGGGAAAATCACCAAAAAATGGGGGGAAACAGTGGGGAAAATGGGAAAAAATGGAATAAAATGGGGGAAAATTGAGATATGGGATAGTGGGCACACGTGAATGGGGAGAAATTGTGGAAAAATGTGGGAAAATGGGAAATTGTGGAAAAAACGGGGGGGAAAATGGGAATGTGGGATGGGGGAAGCACATGGGAACGTGGGAATTTGGTTATACGGGGGGTTTGGGGTTCAGTTTGGGGATTTGGGGATTTTTGGGGTATAAAGGGAGGATTTTGGGGTTCAGTTTGGGGTTTTTGGGGTTTTTGGGGTATAAAGGGAGGATTTTGGGGTTCAGTTTGGGGTTTTTGGGGTTTTTGGGGTATAAAGGGAGGATTTTGGGGTTCAGTTTGGGGGTTCTTTTTGGGGATTTTTTGATTTTTGGGGTATGAAGGGGGGTTTTTGGGGTCTCATTTTCGGGGTGCCCCCAGGCCGACCCCCGAGGGCCGCCGGGAGCGCTCCCGGGACGCCGCCCGGTGCCGGCGCAGCCGCGAGGCCGAGGTGTTCGGGCAGCTGGCGCTGGCGCTGCCCTTCGCCCGCGGCGTCAGCGCCCACCTGGACAAAGCGTCCATCATGCGCCTGACCATCAGCTACCTGCGCGTGCAGCGCCTGCTGGCCGCGGGTCAGCCACCCCCCGAACCCCAAAAAACACCCGGGACCCCAAAACCCACCGGGAACCCCCCCAAATCCCCGCCGGACCCAGCCCCAAATCCATCGGGAAACTCCCCGAGATCCACCAGGATCCCACCCCCAAATCCACCCCAAAATCCTCATTGGGACTCCCCAAATTCCTATCGGGACCCCCAGGTTCATCGGGACCCCAAAATCCCCCCCAAATCCCCGTAGGAAACCCCAAATCCATGGGGAACCCTCCCAGATCCACCAGGATCCCACCCCCAAATCCACCCCAAAATCCTGATCAGGAACACCCCAAATCCTCATCGGAACCCCCCAAAAATCCTCATTGGGACCCCCCAAATTCTTACCGGGAACCCCAGATTCATAGGGACCCCAAAATCCCCATAGGAAACCCCAAATCCATTGGGAACCCTCCCGAATCCACCGCGATCCCACCCCCAAATCCACCCCAAAATCCTCATCAAGAACACCCCAAATCCTCATCGGGACCCCCCAAAAC